CATACTAATAATAATACGAATAATCACTCCAATAACAACCATACGCATAATACTGATAATAATACTACTACAACTAATCATACTAGTAATAATACTAGTACTAATGCTAATAATAATAATCATAATACTAATAATAAAAATACCAATACTAATACTAATACTACTAATAATACTAATAATAGTACTAATACTACTACTACTAATAATAATAATAATTTTAATCATGTTAATAATGGTAATACTGATTATACTGATATTACTACTACTACTACTAATAATACTACTACTACTAATAATAATCATAATAATACTGTTACTACGAATACTACTGCTACTACTACTACTATTACTACTACTACTAATACTAATATTAATAATATTATTAAGAATAACAGCAACAATTATCATACTACTCATAGTAATGATATTAATAATAATATTAATAATAATGTTAACACTAATAATAGTAATAATAACAATACTAATAATAATAGTAATCGTAATAGCACTAATAATGCTAACAATAATAATACTAATAACACTAATAATAATAATATTATTAACAATAATCATAATACTACTACTATTAATAATAATAATAATATTAATAAAAATACTAATAATAATATTAGTAACAATACTAGTAGTAGTAATAATAGTAATACTGATAATAATAATAATAACAATACTAACAATAATAACAATCATAATACTAATAATAATTCTAATACTAATAATAATACTAATACTAATCATAATAATAACAATAATAATAACACTAATAATAATAACAATAATAAGAATAATATTAATAATAATCATAATACTAATAATATTAATAATAACAACAATAATACTATTATTATTATTAATAATAATAATACTAATAATAATAATAAGAATAATAATAATAATACTGATAATAATAATAATAATAATAATAATAATAATAATAATAACAATAATACTACTAATAATAATAATAATAATAATAATAATAATAATAATAATAATAATAATAATGATAACACTCATAATTATAATAAGGAGGAGGAGGAGGAGGAGGAGGAGGAGGAGGAGGAGGAGGAGGAGAGAAGGATCAGGAGGAGCAGGAGGAGCAGGAGGAGGAGGAGGAGCACGAGGAGGAGGAGTAGGAGGAGGAGCAGGAGGAGGAGGAGGAGGAGGAGGATCAGGAGGAGGAGGAGGAGGAGTAGGAGGAGGAGTAGGAGGAAGAGGAGGAGGTTGTGGTTGTGGAGGAGGATGCAAAATTGCAGAGGACGGAATATAGCGGGGGAGGAGAAGGAGGAGGCGCAGGAAGAGGAGCCACCAGATGCCTCCGAAACCCAAGAACCCAAGAAAGTCCATATAGTTAAGGGCCGCTGCATTTAGCTCCTTCGCCTTAGCCCTCGATCCTGGAGCCTCCTCCTCTTCCTCCGTAGCCATTTTGGCTCAAGATCGGACTCGACGAGCCTTTAGTGCGAAGCGGCACTTCCGCGGGACAGATGCCGGCCCCGTGGGACTACGAGTCCGCGAGCGAGTCGGCCGACGGCTCCGACCCGATCCTGCCGCAGCAGGCCGCCGAGGGCGGCCGGCGGCGCCCCTGCGGCGCCCGCGGCGCGGGGCTGGCGGCCGCTGGCGGCCTCCTGGCGGTGTGGCTACTCGCCCAGGGACGAGTCGGCGATCCTGGCGCGTCCATGCGAGCTGGACGTTCCTCCGCGATCAGCCTGGCCAAGGCAGAGTGCGCCGCGCGCGGCGAAGACTGCACCAGCCTGAAGTGCTGCAAGGAGGCGGGCATGCAGTGCTACCAGAAGAACACGGGCTGGGCCGAGTGCCGGCCAGACTGCACGGAGGGCCTGGACCTGCGCGGGCCGGACAACAGCTCCTGGTCCTGCAAGGAGCTGGGCGACCGGACAGTTGGCGACATCCCTCCCCCATGCGTCGGGGCTTTCGAGGACTGCTCGGCCTCCCTGTGCTGCAACATCACGGGCTTCGCATGCTACGAGAAGTCCAAGTCCGACGGATCTGCATTCTGCAGGGCGCAGTGCACTCCAGGAGTCGACCCGACAGACGTAGACTCGAAGCCGTGGAGCTGCAAGAAGCTCGGCGAAGAGATGGGCGGGCCCGCCGACTGGGTGAAGAAGCAGTGCGCGCAGTCGGGCACCAACTGCATCGACGTGGGCTGCTGCGCGGACGAGGGCAAGCAGTGCTACGCCAAGGACGCCGGCTGGGGCGAGTGCAAGTACGGGTGCATCGACCCGGCGGAGCCGTGGAAGGGGCTCGAGTGGGACTGCGAGGAGATCGGGCCGCGCACCCCGCAGGGCAAGCCCGCCCCCTGGGAGTACCAGAAGTCCACCGCGCCGTGGGTCGCGGAGGAGTGCGCCGGCCCTGGGGAGGACTGCACCAAGAGCCAGTGCTGCAAGGAAGAGGGCCAGCAGTGCTTCACGAAGAACGACGAGTGGTCGGCTTGCCGCCCCCAGTGCGAGGAGGGGCCCGACCTGTGGGACAGCAACTACGAGCCGTGGAGCTGCTCCCCGCTCGGCACCAAGACGCCCGGCTTCGCGAGGGGCCACACTGGCGCAGACCCCGTCTCCGACTGGGTGACGACGAAGTGCGGCGAGCAGTCGAAGGACTGCCGCAAGAATCGGTGCTGCGCCGACCCTGGGCACGCCTGCTACGAGAAGGACGAGAACTGGGCCACGTGCATGAAGAGCTGCGACCCGGGCAAGCAGGAGTACGACGAGGACAACAAGCCGTGGTCGTGCAACCAGATTGGGCCGCGCACGCCTGTCCTCTGGGGAACGCCGTCGCTCTTCTGCTACGCGGTCATCACGATCAACGACTACAGCAGCGAGCCGCAGCTGGTCCAGGGCCAGATCGAGCGCGGCTCCGGCATCTTCGAGTGCGACGAGTACGCCGTATACAGCACCGCCGAGCCCACTGTCGTGGGCATCGGGCCCTCTGGCAAGGTGACAACCATCCAGTTTGAGCCCGCCGAGATCACGACCAGCAAGGACGGCACCTCCGGCAACGCCGAGCTCTTCATGCATGTCTGGGACGCCGTGAAGGCGGACAATCGCTGGAGCACGACAGACTGGACGGTGAAAGTGGATCCGGACGCGGTGCTCATCCCCTTCAGGCTCCGCCAACATTTGAAGGACCATACAGGTGAGAAGGCCTACATCGTGAATTGCAATAAGCCGTTGCTGCCCGAAGGACCCATGATGTTCGGGGCGCTGGAGGCGTTTAGCCAGGGAGCCCTGAGCGAGTATTTCGCCAGGGAGCAGGAGTGCATCGGCGGCATGTATTGGAAGAATTGGGGAGAAGATTGGTACATGGGCCACTGCCTTGATTACCTGGGCGTGCAATCAATTCACGACTACGAGATCTACAGTGATGGTGTGTGCACCGGCGTGGATTGCAGCAATCCGGTTGCAGCAGCGTTCCATCCAAAGAAGGACATCGGCAGCTGGAGCGCCTGCTACGAGGAGGCGCTGGCCGCAGGCAACACCAAGCAGGAAGCAGAGGCCAAGGCCGCCGCGGAGGCGGAGGAGGGCGGCGATGGTGGCGAGGAGGGCGGCGAGGGCGGCGGCGAGGATGGCGGCGAGGGCGGCGGCGAGGGCGAGGGCGGCGAGGGCGGCGGCGAGGGCGAGGGCGACGAGAGCAGCTGATGGCCGCGGGGTAGGCGCCTGGGGGCCGGCGGGGACCTGGCAGCATTCTGGCCGTCCCCGCCCTAGCTGCTGGGAATGTACCAGCGGATCCTCCAGGCGGCTGCGCCGTGCGAATTTGTGCACTTCGAGCGGAGGCGGCTACGTAGCTCTGGCGAAGGCGGCTACGTAGCTAATTATAGGCCGTCGCGCTGCACGCGGGGATTTACGTGGCCGAGGTTGGGCCATGGGCTTTGTGGGAGGGCGGGCGGTGGGGGTGAAGGATGAAGACCCGAACTGCATTGGAAGTTGTTTGTCTGCGGAGGACCATCCGCATGCCAACAGCTCAAATGGCGACGCGATGGCTGAGGACCCCGGCGCCCAGGGAATGACGACAAAGGATTGTCTCCCTGCCCTGGGATCAGCCTAGCTTCTAGTTTGTTGTCAGCTTGCTCCGGGGTGCTTCGCCTCGAATTCCCGTTAGAATTGCTCCTCCTCCTCCTCCTCCTCCTCCATCTCCTTCTGGAGGTGGAGGAGGAGGAGGAGAGGATGTGGAGGAGGAGGAGGAGGAAAAGGAGGAAGGGGACCAGTGTAAACCCAAGACTCATCAACGATATTGCAAGAACACTCCTTCCAAGTTCTCTCTGAACAGGCACCTGCAAGGATGTATTTCACTGAGGGAAGTGGCCCGCTGCAGGACAACCGATTGAACGCCAGAACACCATTCTTTGGACTTCAGCGCCGCGAATCACAGTTAATGGTGCGTCGTGACGCTCCCGAATCGTTCCAGAACGCAATTCCATGGACTTCAACACCGCGAATCAACGTGACTGTTGCGCCCTGACATTCCGACATCGGGTGGGACGTTAGCCATGATAATAGTTGAAACAGTTGCGAACTCTTAATCCGAATGTGCGCGGCGCTGAGGCGAGAGCCACATTTTGAAAAGGAACCGCCCTCAATCCGTGAAGCTCTTTCAATCTTTGACGACGAATGTATCTGGCTCTAAGGCGAGAGCAGCATTTTGAAAGCGGGCCGCCCTCGAATTGTGAAGCTCGTGCAAATGCTTAAAACGAGTGTGCGCGGCGCTAAGGCGAGAGCCACATTTTGAAAGCGGGCCGCCCTCCATCCGTGAAGCTCTTGTAAATTTCAAGCTCCAGGGTCATAAATGGTGAGGAAGTCTAAGGCGAAACGCCGGGCACGCCCTTTACGACCAGCCTCGGGGTGCGACAGGGAGGAGTCGTTCATAAGGAAGATGGATGGAGGAGGAAGGGAGGAAGGAGGGAGGGAGGGAAGAATGAGGGGGAGAAGGGGGAGGAGGGAAGGAGGGAACCCGTCGGGAGCCCAGCGGCTCAGGAGAAGAAGTGGTTCTTCGAGGCCGCTCGGCGCCCCCCTCCACCTCCCGAGCGGCAGCGCGGCAACCGCCAGTCCCGCGCCCGGGTGCTTCCCTTTCTTGGGTCGGCGACTACAGAGGGTGTGGTTACGGTAAGGTTCGCGTCGTGTCGACCAGCGGTGACCCCAGCGCGGGCGTTTAGGGTTGAACGCCGCCCGCGGCCCAGAATCGGCCCATCGCTGAACGATCGTCTAAGGTTGAACGATCCCCGCGGTGTCAGGAACCAGCGCTGGGATCGGCACGACGCGAACTTGCCGCACGCCGGGGTGTGGTCTGCGATCTGCGTCGTTGGGGCTCGAGGGGCACCCCAGTGGCCCTCGTCGGGCCTCCGGGCCGAGGAGGCCCGACGAGGTCGCGAGACTCGGGGCGCGGCGGAGAACTCTGCCGAGGTCCTCGCCCGCCACCCGGGGTCCGCATTGGTGGCTGCTGTATCTTCAGGGGGGGGAAAAAACACAGACACAATTCATCGCCGACTCCCAGGAAAATATGGGAAAGTATGGGAAGTGGGGGGGAAGACAGAAACCCAGAAAATATGGGAAAATATGGGGAATACTTTTATTATTGTGTATTTATTTGTGTGTCCCAGGGCCCCTTCATATCTTTCCTCCTCATCTCGGCTGCGCGCAAGAGGGACCCTTCGCCAGAGTGACCTTTCTGGTGCGGGCCCGCAGAGGTTCCCCCAGCACCGACTCGCCCGCTTGGATGATTGCCTCCCCGAACGAACGAGAGAAGCCGCGCCTCGACGGCGCACCCGCATGTGATCCAGAACAGACGAGGGGCTGCAGCATGCAAGCTCGCCGACATCGCCTGGCCTTGTGCCTTCCCGCGGCCTCGAAGGTCACTCTTGCCCAGGCCACTCTGGCCCCTGCCCTCGGGCGGCCCGCTCGCTTGTCCTCGAGCGCCCGTGCTCGGGCTCGTCGACGTGGCGAAGGCGGGCGGGTTCCGGGACCTTTCACGGGGCGATCCTGCAGCGGGGTTCAGGGGGCCGACTTCGAGTGGACCTGGATAGGATGATGGGATGAAGAAGGAGGCGGAGGAGGCGGAGGAGGAGGCGGAGGAGGCGGAGGAGGAGGAGGAGGTGGAGGGGGATGAGGATGAGGAGGAGGAAGACGAGGAATATGAGGACAGAGACAGACAGACAGAGACAGACAGGCAGGCAGGCAGGCAGACATGCAGACAGAAAGACAGAAGACAGAAAGACAGAGAGACAGAGACAGAGACAGAGACAGACAGCAGCCAGGTGCTGAACAGCGCATGTACAGAAAATACAGCACAACGTAAGATACAACGGAGGATGCGGAGAGTGCATGGAAAGGGGGGATGATAAGGCCGTGTAGGAGGATGTGGAGGAGGAGCGGGTGGAGCCAGCTCCAGAATCCTGGTCGTGTGGGTTTGGGCTTCTTCATCCCACGCGTCATGTATGCGCGAGTCTCCAAGACAGTCAGCATTGTTGACGCAGCAGCCGCTGTAGCCGCTGTCCTTCCTGCAGACTTCTTGGAGCTCTCTTGGAGGTATCGTCGGGCCGTCTCAAGAGCAGTCTTGGGACTCTCTTGGAGGAGTTCGGGGCCCTCCCACCCGGTCGGAGCCCGACAAATCGCCTGTCGGTTCCATTCTGGGGCGCTCTTGGGGCGCTCCTGGGGGCCTTTGGGCCCTTCTCGAGACTCTACTGGGCCATCTTGGGGGGTTCTTCTTTGAGGCCTCGAGCGTGCCGGAAACACCTCCGCTCCTGAAGGCCTCTGCTGCTTTCCAGGAACATTCTCAGGATGCTCCTTGGCCGCCACGGGCCGTCTCGCGGCGGGCTCTGAGGCTTTCTCAAAGCATGGTGGGGGTCACCCTGTTCCAGCTTGGGCTATCCGGAACAGCCTTGGGGCCATCCGGGGCCCTTCTCGGGCGCTGGTGCTGCTCGGTCCTGAACCATGTGGTGACATATCAGGTTGTGACCTGGAGTCCCCAAGAAGTCACCGCTGGGTTTGGAACGGGTGTTGTGGCTCCTGGACCCACCAGCGTTCGGGACATCCTCGAAAAACCGGACGAGTCCCCAAACCGGGTGGTGACACCAAATCGCCCGAGACTCACCGCCGGGTGTTGTCACCACCACGTTTGGGGACTACCAAGGGGGTGGTGAGGGGCGTCCAGACGAAGGGGAGAGAGCCCTCCGAACTGATCGGGCCGCTCCCTCTGGTCGACCCCGCCCAGAAGACCGACGTGCCTGCATTCCCAGACGGCCAATACGGGCTCCAAGACGACCAAGCTGGCCCAAGATGGCTTCCATCCAGGTAGGGCCCAATATGGAACCAGTATGGCCCAATATGCCTACGAGGCTCCGAAGAGGCGAATTTCAGTGATTATCTTTATGTATTTTTGCATGCAAGCCGTTCCGAAGATGGTCCAGAGCCCCAAGATGGCCCGAAAAGAGCCTCCAAATTTTTACAAATCGCGCGGAAATCGTCGTTGGCGACTGCAATTGGCACCAAGGAGTCCCCAAGAGGCATTTTAGAGACCCCAAGAGGCCCAGGATTGATTCCTAGACGGCCAAGGCGGCCTCCAAGACGGCCCAAGATGGCCTCCAGGTTGGCCCAAGATGTCCCCTAGATAGCTCACACGGTCCCTAGGACTGCTCCCCAAAGCCGTCCACAAGGCTCCGAAGAGGAGAATTTCAGTGATTGTTTCAATTTTTTGACTGCACGCCTTTTCGGTTTTCAGTGTGCCCAATCCGACCCAAGAGACCCTCAAGATGGTTCCGAAACGTTCCAAGACGGCCCTAGGGACTCCAAGAGGACCCGAAGACGGTCCCGAGCATCAATATGGCCCGAAAGAGCCCCCCAACATTTTAAATCGCGTGGACGTCGGCACTGGCAATCGTAACTGACACCAATGTGGCCGCAGAGGCCGCCAAGATGTCTCCAAAATGCTCCCAAGAGGCCCTCTAAAGGCCTCCAAGAGGTCCCCAAGAGGCTTGAGCCTTCTAAGAGGCTCTCAGGACGGGTGGTTGGGCTCGGGGAAGTCTTGCGACGTGGGGGAAGGGGAGGAGTTACCCGTTTGCCAAGGGGTATAATTGGGTTGGAAGAGATGATCCCTCAAACTACCTAGGTCGAGAGTGCTGGTGGTGAGACGTCAGCGGCGATGGTTCCAATATCTAGTGGCAGATCTCGTCACAATGTTTGAGTTGTGGGTCCTGGGCGCCGTGGGGACATGGTTGATATTTGTTGAGAATACTGCGGGTTTTGGAGCCCATGTGAGGGCCTCATAAGGGGGCCTCTTCGGCGCCTCCAGGGAGCCTCTTGGGGGCTGCTGTGGCGTCTCTTGGGGGGCCTCTGGGGAGGCTCTCGTGGGCCTGTTGGGGGTCTTGAGGCCATCCTTGCGGGGTGGGTGCCCCAGGTCCGTTCACGGACTTCTATTTGGGCCACTGGTAAGCTGGCTTGACGCATCCGTCATACGTTCCGTGCCCCGAACTAACAGCCTGGGTGAGGGCGCCCTCACACTTGGGCTGGACCTCAGATGCTCCGCTTCTCATAGGAGGCCCCGCCACGGCCCCGACCAGGGCCCGATCTGGGGGGGCTGTCCTGGGCGCTTCTCGTCTGGGCCTGCACCGAAGCCGTCTCAAGTCACGCTCGGGCCGTGTTGGTGGGGACGTCCTGGGCCGTTTTGAAGCTGCTCTGCGGCTTCCCATGGGCCCTCTTTGACTTTTAGGGCGCCGTCGAGGGCGACATTGGAGCCGTCTTGAGGCGGCCAGTGTGCCATCTGTGCCAGGAAGGGTGGGAGACATGCAAGCATTCAAACCTCAGCGTTTTCAGTGTCTTGGTTTCTCAGGTGCCTATAGAGGCTGTCTCGGGGGCCCCATGGGGCTCTTTGGCGGCGGCGGCAAACCTCCCGGCGCCGCGCCAAGATCGACCTGGCCCCTGCGTTCACGTCGGCGGCCTGGGAGATCCTGAAGTTCCAGGCTCGGCAGCGCGAGCCCGCTGGCCTGCTGCCCCCGCTGGCCTCCCTCCTCGTCTCCAGGCCGCCTACGTGGGGCTGGAGCAGATGGGGTCGGGTGACCGCGCCGCATCGCCGATGCATCGGCGATGAGGCGCGGTCCGGAGCCCGATCCTCCCCTCCCTGGCGTTGCCGGTGGATCGGCGATGCATCGGCGATGTGGCGCGATCCTCCGACCCCATCTGCTTCGGCCCCATCTGGGCGGCCCTCGCCGCCCTCTCGCGCCTCCTCCGCGCGCGTCCCGCCGCCGGGCTGCGGATCGCTGCGCCACGCCGCTCGCCGGCCGCGGCACCGGGCCCCAGAGTGCACGGACGGCCTGGAGGCCAAGCCGCGCGCCTTGCCGAGGCCGAGCGTCGACAGGAGGCCGAGCGCGCGGCAGAGGCAGCGCCAGGCGCCGAAGCGGCAGAGGCAGCGCCAGTCGAGACCTGCGCCGCCGAGGCCCACCCGAGCGCTACGCGGCCGCCTGAGGCCGAGCTGCCAGGGCCAAGCCCGACTCCAAGCCTGACAACAAGCCCCGCGACGACAACTCCCGGGAGAGAAGTAGTGGGACGCTCGCGAGGCCACAGCCATGCAGCGGCTGGGGCGTGCGCAATACTCAGCACTCATCGATTCGCTGCGTCCCGAGCCATCCAAACGGAGGAAGGAGGCCGAGCGCAAGGCCGAAAACTGAGATCGAGGCCGAACCCCATGCGAAGGCGAACGCTGGGCACCTGGCAACAGTACAGGCCGCACTCCTGGCGGGAGGCTGCGGGCCCAACGGATGACCGCGCCCGACGCCAGGCCCGATGTGGAGCCCCGCGCCGATTACAGCGCCACGGCGCCGCGCAAGCGCGCGGCCGCGGCAGCGGGCCTGGCGACGGCCGAGCGCCAGGCGCGGCCCGAGCGGCGCGGCAGCCGAGCACCCCGACCGCGGCGCAGCGGCGCCCGACGGCGGCTGCTCTCCAGGCCTGGGCCGAGCGGCCCGTGGCCGCAGCCGCAGGCCGGCGCAGCGCCGGGGCCCGGCGGCTCGGCCGGGGCAACGCGCGGCCACCGGGCGGGCGGCTCACGGGGGCGTGTCCAGGACACCGTCATCCCCTTCGTTCCCGATGCGTGTGCCGTAAGCGCTTGCGCAGCTCCTGGGCAGCGCTTCCTGGGCTCGTGGGCAGCGCCTGGGCAGCGCCTGGGCAGCTCCTCGGCACACCTGGCGGAGACCGCGGCGGCGCGACCCGCGGCTGCCCCCCGGGGCACCGCCGATCGGCGCGCTGCGCGTCGCGCAGCGACGGAAGAGCGCGGCACGGGGCGCCCGGCTGAGGCCGAGCGCCACGCTGGTCGCCCAGCGGAGGGCGCGCTTGCCGTAGAGCGCCCTTCTCACCTCCTCCTCCTCCTCCTCCTCCTCCTCCTCCTCCTCCTCCTCCTCCCTCCCTCCTAAAGGCTCCGTGCGCCAGCGGTTTGCCATTTCCCAAGTCCAATTTCGGGTCCTGCCCTTCAGGTGGACGAGGCTGGGTTGCTGCCCCTTTTCGTCCCTCACCTTCTACATCTCCGTTCGTAGCAGCTTAGCGCGTAAGCCTCCCATCCTGCTGGGAGGCCAGCCTCGATCATTCAGTGGCATGGAGTCTCGGTCGTCAGAACGAATTCCCCCTCCGCCGCCACCGCCTCCGCCGCGGGTTTCCGTCCTCTTCGCCTTCGGCTTCGCCTTCGATTGCCCCGAGGTGGACGAGTCGAAGCGGTCCTTCGATCCTGATGCTTCCGCCTCTTCTGCTCGATCCCGTTCTGCTCTTCCTGGTGCAGTTCCTGTTGTAGCCGTTGACCCTGCGACGCCATCATCCTCGGCGTGCTGCCCGCTTCTGCGTCCATTGGAGCCCCCTCCTGGTCAGTTTGACTTGCTGGCTGCCTCGGGGTGAACGGTGAAAGCTGTGAGCCCACTCATGCTTCCTCTCCCTGTCGAAGTACATCCAGTGGGTACCCGTCGGTTGAACATGTGGTCTAAGCACAGTTACTCCAGAACAGCAAGACAAGCCAGCATATTGAGATGCGCCAGGTCCAATACAGTGGAGGCCCATGCCAAGAAACACCCTGCTCGCCTCCAGGGTGCCCTGGGTTTCTTGGATTTCGATGGCTTGCGATGGAGAGCGTGACGTTCCCACACCGAAAATCAAGGGACGTCCTGGGGTCTCAGGGCTGGGTTTCGTGTGGAAGGTTTCTCGTGGACTGGCCTCCACTGTGGCCGCGCATGCAGTGAGCGCGAGCAGCCTCATTGCCATCCGCAGCGCAGCCGCTGACAGCAGTACTCTGCGGCCCTCCGGCAGGCCTCGTGCTGGGCTCGCTCCCCCGCCCGTCCCCCTGGGGGCCTCCCCCCTTCGCGGTCCCGCTCGCCACGCAGGCCTTCGGGAGACATCGCTGCCCAGCTCCGAAGCGGCGAGGCAATCAGGGCTCGTGACGTTTCTCCCTCGGCGCCGCGGCCCTGAACACTCCTCGGAGGAGGAAAAGGTACCCATACCTCTACCCCCTCGCCCGTTTTCCCCTTTTTGGGCCTCCGGAGAGGCGTTCGTCGCCACCGCTGCATTCGCCTCGAGATCCTGGTCAGAACGCACCCCGGCAGAGGTCCGGGGAGTAGCAGTATCGGTACCTTTCGGTCTCCCCAGTTTCCCGTAGTCCAGGCAGGGATGAAGGCGACAGGGATGAAGGCGACAGTTTGTCGTCGGCCCATGCCCCAGTGCCAGCTCTCAGCTCTGACGGAGCGGATCGTCATTGGTTACCACGGAGCCATTGCGACAATTGGCACTCGTTCTCCACTCTTCGCCCAGATGGCGATAGCAACGCCTACCTGCAAGCTGTGGCTGCAGGTCTCAAGTTTGAAAAGGCTGTCAAATACGGAGCGCTACTGCCAGAGGAGCGCCCGCCGCTTCCGACAGCTGCCCGCTCTCTAGCATGCAACCCCCGCCAGCTGATAGACAGCTGCCGACAGCTGCCTCTCTAGCTGACCGCTCGCTAGCTTCCGACAGCTGCCCGCCCGCCGCTTCCGACAGCGCCCAGCGTCCGCCAGGTAGCCGAGCTCCACCAGAAAGGCCAGGCCTTCCAGGTTGGCCGTTCTTCCGTGTGTCCTCCTTCTGGCAGGTCTTGCCATAACCAGCTATGGCCAGTTGTGCGCAGCAGCAGCGGCCTCTCTACCACTGCGCGATGTGCAGGCCTTGCGAAGAACCGCAGTGTGCATACTGTGGGAATCGCACACATGACGCCCTCTGGCGGGGGGCGGCGCCTCTGCAAAGTGGGCAAAGGCTTCGTCTGCAGGCCGTGCTGGATCCAGTATGCAATCTCTGGCGAGCAGGAATTGTGGCCCAGTGTTTTTTTCTCATCGCTTCAAAGACTACCCTGGCGCATTTCTCGAGGCACAGCATCGTTAGACGCCTACGCCTTGTAGGCCTGGTCAGGCTTGTCTTGCATGCGGCCCTCGTTCTATCCGTAAGGGCTTCGCCCCCTGCCGCCGGCCCCCTCTCTCAGAGAATGGGCCATGGAAGAGCGAAGTCATGAGGCTTTGGCTTCGCCGTGAAGCAGTGTCGGGACCTGTTTGTTTTTCGACCCTGACCCTACGGATCTGCGTGAGGGGTGCCGCCGAATTTCAGAAATGTGGCAAATCCCCTGTGTTTTTGGACACTGACCCTACGGATCTGCGTGAGGGGTGCCGCCGAATTTCAGAAATCTGGCAAATCCCCTGTGTTTTTGGACACTGACCCTACGGATCTGCGTGAGGGGTGCCGCCGAATTTCAGAAATCTGGCAAATCCCATATGTTTTTTGGACCCTGACCCTGCCGATCTGCGTGAGGGGTGCCACCGAATGTTGGAAATGTGGCAAATCCCATGTATTTTTGGACCCTGACCCCGCCGATCTGCGTGAGGGGAGCCACCGAATTTCAGAAATATTGCAAATCACTTTTGTTTTAAGACCCTGACCCCGCCGATCTGCGTGAGGGGTGCAACTGAAATTTCGAAATGTGGCAAATCCCATGTGTTTTTGGACCCTGACCCCGCCGATCTGCGTGAGGGGTGCCACCGAATGTTAGAAATGTGGCAAATCCCATGTGTTTATGGACCCTGACCCCGCCGATCTGCGTGAGGTGTGCCACCGAATTTCAGAAATGTAGCAAATCACGTGTGTTTTAGGACCCTGACCCAGCCGATCTGCGTGAGGGGTGCCACCGAATGTTAGAAATTTGGCAAATCCCATGTGTTTTTGGACCCTGACCCCGCCGATCTGCGTGAGGGGTGCCACCGAATTTAAAACATGTGGCAAATCCTATGTGTTTTTGGACCCTGACCCCGCCGACCTGCATGAGGGGTGTAAATTTTTACCCACCCCAGCAATTCAGGCCACACGCTCAGTGCGTGGTAAAAATGCTCGTTTTGGGCGTCCCCCCCTCGCGCGGTCCATCAACAAGGAACAGTAAGCAGCAAGAAGTCAACAAGGAACACTAAGCAGCAAGAAGCAGAACTGTAACAGTGGAAACTGGAAGCTGCAACTGGTACAGGAAACTGCGAACCTCCGGCCTACAGCCTGGTGGCCCCACAAGGGGGCCGGCGGATCTCTTTGGGACGCCCCCATTCGCCTCCCTTTCTTGACGCGCTTCGGACGGTCTCCTTGCGTTCTTGCGGCGGGGGGTCAGATGCGGCCCTGTTGAGTTTGAACTGTTGTTTTAACTTTATCCGAACTTCCCGGCGAACTTTGGGCGATTTTTTTTTTTCTGACAAAACCATCAGTTTCAATTCTTTGCCACAATGTCCACATTACAATTGTAGATCTTTGTCTTGGACGTAGGTCTGTCCAGGTCTTGGCAATCTTTCCTCACATATCGTTTTCCATCTTCCCTTCGACTCCGCGTCGTGTGCCGTCCCCACTCGCTCTCGTGCTGTTGCGGGATACCCATACCCATGTTCTCGAGCTACTACACTGTCGCTCTTCTGTCCGCTGTCCGTCGTTGCCTTTCTGTTCC